AACTTTTGAAAATATACCTAATTTTCCTTGTTTTTAAGGAAAATATTTTCCTTGGGTAGTGGTGGTTTTTATTTTCCACAAAAAATGGAAAATATTTTTTTTTCTAGGTAATATTTTCCATGCCAATCAAACACACTCTAAATAAAAAATACGTGACCAAAAGTAAGAAAACATTTTATGGGAAAAAATATCAATCAAATAATATAAAAGTAAGAATTTAAATAAAAAATTACATTTTCTATGAAAAAATATTGACAATCAAACGCAACTATTCACTATATGAAAAGCGAGTCAAATTTTTAAAGATGATTTTACGAAATTACTAAAACCTCTTCAAAGGGCCTGTATGGGAAATTTTTTTCCACCAGTTAGTTGGAAAAGTCATGTTTGGAAATTTTTTTAGAGTATTGGTTAAATTATTCAAAACTAGTGTAGGGTAATTTGAGGCATATTTTTCATCCCCAAATCGGTGATTTTTTTTCCATTTCAACTTGTCTTCCAAAGTTTATCAAGCCATGAAAATCACACGAATTTTCTTGTTTATTCTTGTTGACAAAAAAATGATAAAACTCTCGAAAAGTAAACTTTGTGAATAGTGAAGCAATCTTTCCTCCTATAACAATCATCCGTAAGCAAAATTGGGATTCGAAACAAACTTTTATCTTATTAGGGCAAAAGATCCCTCCTACCACAGTGCAAAAATATTTTCTACGGACCTAAAGCGGAGAAAAATAGCTACGAAAGCACCATATTAAGATGCAACAAAGATATAGAGAGTTAGGCGTTAGAAATAATTTGTAAAATGTCACAATACAATATTTTTATTTCGGGGGAAAGGCAAAACTCATTTAATGCAGTAGCATGTGGACTTCAACTGAGTCGACTAAAACACTCAATGTCAACCTTGACAAGTAAGGCAAGCTCACAAACCCGAAAGATATAACAACAGAATTTCCAAGGATCTACTGCTAGATATCAACTCTAATAGCAACATAGTCTTTATTCAAACGGTCCACCTCACACTCTTTGGTTTCATAAAGGAGCAATTCATTTCACACCCGTGTCCTGCTCGAGCATGAGAATTGATCAATACTTCAAGGCAATTTGGCAAGTTTGAAAAAATCCGACTGTAGGAAGGACTTTAGCCATACTCTCAGTCAATTACCTATTTACAGCCCTTCCTTTTGATGCCGTTCCTATCAAGTTGAAATAGAGGTTGCCTTCCTAAATGACCACATATCTTCATATTTCTCACCAAGGCACCATTAAGGACCTTTTTATCTCAGCCAAACATGCCGATTTGACCTTAATGGCAATTTCTAGATACATTTACCTTGAGAGGTTCCTACATATCGACACACAGAGCAACTAAGATCTACATAGGTGATGCTAATTTTGGAAGAACAGAATCAACTCATTTGAGAGGTAAACACGGGAAATTCATGTGTGGATTGTATTGTTTCTGGAGTATAAATTTCTCTATCAAACAATTTGAAAATAATACATTAACAGAATTATTGTATTGTTACTTGCATAGTGTAACGAGATGATCAATAGGCTCAAAATGTTAATTCGAGCTCATCAACTTCACTATATTTCTTTTAAATGAATTTGTTGCCTTCACAAGTGTTCAAGGTGTTCAGAAATAACCCAGCTACATGAATAAGTTCAATGATAAAATTTAAAACAATAATGCTATACGTACATTATTGTTTGACAATATTGCATTACAACATGATGTGGCAGCAAAAAGAAAACCAATAATGCTATCTGTATAATATTGTTTGACAATGTTGTATTACAACACGACGTGACAGCAAAAAGAAAACACGAAAAAAAAAGAACCATTCAAATTTTGAATTGTCATTACCGAAGAGAGTCAGTCTTTTGTTCCCCAAATTATAGAATCCAAATGAACCCAGCAAACCATCCCTCTTCTGCCCCAATGTCTTCCCATTTTCGGCGACTTCTCCTCCAATTTCTTCCCATTTTCGGCGACATCTCAACCACTTGAAATAGCCGGAATCCACGTACCCGTCACCTCTGACTATCACGTGACTGCATATTTCTTTGAGGATCGAGGATTCAAAGACCGTCTCTGGCCATCGCGTGAAGGAGTCCGTTCCAGATCAAAGATTCAGTCGCCGTCTCCTGCTTGTGCTCACTACAATTTAATTTTTAAGTTTGAATTTAACATTGGCAACACCGTTCAAGATCGATGAAGGCTTCACAGATCTCCAACATCAAATCCACTGAATTTGAAAAAGTTGCCTTCACAGTAAGATTTGGTTGTTATACTTTCAGTTTATTGGGGTTTTAATTTGTTTCAACGTAGAGAAATTACAATTTCAGATAAGGTTGAATTCTGAGATTTATGAAATTTCAATGTTTTGTCGATACTACTCATTCACTTTTGTATGAATTTAAGGTTAGACAGTATACATTTTCGTATGAAAAATTATTGAATTTCAGGATGAGTGGTAAATATACCTTGTGTGTGACTTGTGAATATATTGTCATAATATAATTTGTCCTCTTACGTGTGAGTGTATTTAGTGAGTAGAAACTGGGTACATAGCTAAATAGTGTATATATAATGCATTTGATGTTGAAGAAGTTTTTCCAAAGCCAGGCTCTACACTTATCATTTGTGGTTGCCTCAATCAAAGCCGATCGAATCAGTTGACGATATGTCTTGTATGTTTCGATCGCAAGTTCGGCTTAACAATGATCAAGAACTCCACATATCTATGAACGTGACGATCCGCATAGGCAAGTCGAGCACCAAAGGGAACACCAAATGCAAGGCACTGGCTTGATTAAAGGTGGATGTTCACATCCGTGCATCGAATTTTGTGTTCAAGTGTGAAGAAAATGGAAATGTCAGTTTCAACATTTTGTAAATTTAACAATTGTATCATGACTTAATGCTAAATTTTGTGTTGATGTTACGGATTTGCTTCACACAACATGCATTATCATTCGAGGTTCTCTTTCATTTTCTATTCGATAGTGTACTACTTTTTTTTGAATGGGTATACCATCAAAGAAAACATAATGGAGTTTATCAAATTTCACAAACAAGGTATTCCAAATAAACACCATGAACAAAATGACCTTAGAGAAATTGACAACACTTGTGACTTAAATCGTAGTTTCAATTAACACCGAATTCCCTGCCACTTTTTAGGCTCAAGATCATCCTTAAATCCAAACAATTGAAGGAATTGATACACTTGAACATACAAATTTTCAATTAAAAAACTAGTGAAAATACAAATTTCCACAGCATGTACACTAGAAGTAAACAAACTGTCCTCTTCTCCAGATATGTGGCAACTATTTACACTACAATAATTCATAATTTTTAGTTCCCTTGGCAAATGAAAGTCCAATATTCATTCGCCTCCCTTTCATGTCAGCAGTCTTCCTCATTTGCAAAAGGTATGGCTTCACTAAAGACAACAAAAGACAATCCCATTATAATCTTTCATCAGGGAGAGTTAGGATGATTTTGCAAAAGATGATTCACCGCGTTAGAGAAAGTAGTACTAGGTGTAGACGCTTGGCTTGCATGGTCACCCTATGTCATCAAAAGAGAAAGCAAATGAAACTTCAAACAGACGAACATTAGAAATTTGATGTACTCACCAACAAGAGTTGTGCATAGGAGAACGGTGTAGGCACTGAAGTTTGTTGTTCTTGATATGCCTGAACAGATGATGCACCATCTGGTGGACAAAAACACCTTGAAGTTGGCATCTTTCCTTTGGACAAAGCCAATTTAGCCTACATATACATTATACCCACCCAAAAAAAAAACGGAAAAAAAATTTCTTCTTAGTAATTAATTCTCTAGATAAACATATTCAAGGGTTGATTTTATATATATATATTTTTTGGATTAAAACTCCAGATTTTCTAAAAATAACTTCAAGCACTAATTTACTTTTATTATTAGTTTTGACAAAATAATATTTATTTCTTCTCTACTTGAAAATATTACCCTTATGGAATATTAGCTACATTTACATCCTCAGAAATAAGAATTGGTTTTAGGATTCCATGTACTTTTATCGGTTAACATATAAACTTACCTTTGGTTTCTTTGAAGTCAACTCCAACGGGGCTTTGCTCCGAAGTTTTCTAGGCGCACCCTGCTTGCTCGCCACTTTAGGATCAAGTACAGAGCAACTGGCATTATTTTGCGAGCCGGTATAATTCGAGGATATTCGTATATTACGCTGCATTTGGACATTACATACGCCGATCGACCTTGAGCTCAGAAGATCCTCCTGTTGAAATTGTATCCATTCCATTATAGCATAGGTCAGACCTCCACCTTCTGCTGCTAGGTCTGCAATGGAAGCAAAAGCCTTGAACATTTTATCATAACGCAACTGTGCAAGAGTGCTTACCAACCCATCATAGTGTACAGCAACCCTAGTGTGTGCCTGTTAACATCCCTTCTCCATAGCCAAAGTATATACCTATCCGGTAGTACAGTTACGTCATTACGGATAAGTACTACAATCGCATGTCGGCAAAGTATTCCTCGGAACTCGAATAAGTGGCAGTTGCAAACAATTTCACAATTTTACGTATGAAATAAGACTTTGTATATTTTTTTCTTTCGTCGATCGCTGCATAAGACGTCCTCGCGTACGTCATACGTTGTCCCCGAGCAACCATCCACATCAGACATTATGTCACAATATACCTTCCCCGTGAACTCAGATTGTACTTCCCTAAATTTTGAAATTGTGCACACTGGCTGAAATTACTTTTCCATTTCATAGGTTGTTGTGCATGGGACTATTTGAGAAAATGACTTGAAATCAGCCTGAAACTCCTTCTCAACTTTGTTCCATAGTGTACGTTCATACTGTTCGACGAATTGCTTCAACGATGTCTTTGAGTGCACATATCCATCAAAAAAGGCATTCATACTCTCCGACCTTGTGTTGTTTACATTCCGGCCCAAAATGTCATTTTCAAAAAGCAAGGAAGCCATCGACCTCTATTCTCGTAGAGCCCCGATAACTAGTCATTGTCTTGCAACTCATACTTATCTATCATTGTTTTCCAACTATCTTCAAATTCTTCAATATACTGTTAATCATTCACCAATACATGTATAGCAAAGAATATAGATCCCTTATCCACGTGCTAGCCTACTTTTTCTGAAAACTTCTTCATAATGTGCCATAAACACCATCTATACTCGTATTCGAGAAAACTACTTATATTGCATTTTACATTTTGCATTGCCCTATCTTGATCCATTATTATTCCATGTGGAGCTTTACCCTGCATACATTTAAGTCATGTCCTGAATAGCCATATAAATGTATTTGTGTTCTCATTTGATAACAAATCACAACCAAGCAATATTGATTGTCCGTGGTGATTCACACCGACAAATGGGGCAAATTGCATGTCATACTTGTTAGTGAGGTAAGTAGTGTCAAATGTAACAACGTCATTGAACTCTTTATATGCTTGACGACACCGATTGTCTACCCAGAACACATTCTTTAGCCGCGATTCTTCGTCCAAATCAATACTAGAGTAAAATCCTGCGCATTGTGTTTGCATTTCTGAAAAGTAAGATTGTATTGCTGCAACATCTCCTTCTCCAAGTTTTAATTGCCTCACATGTTCGATATAGTTTCTACAATCCTTTTCTACGCAAGCAAGATTCTCATATCCACCAGCTTCAACAACTGCAGAGTTGAAACTTTTGTGCAACAGAATTCCTGTGATGCCATTAACTTCAATCTTCCGTTTCACATGTGAGCTTAACTCTCTGTTGCATCGATACAACCTTGATTTTGAAGGACTTAGTTTACGGTTGTGGTCGAGGTGTACTGTTTTAATTACCCAAAATTCATGATAATCAGATGCCGCAAAGATTCTGGCTTTACGGGATCTGCATTGTCGGTTGAGGCTTCAAAAAACCACTTGTGGAACCACTTCTTCATCCTTTATAACTGCATGTCAATGTCACATAACACAGAACTCCAGCGTCATCTTTTTTCGAATTCCGTTTCTTAACTGGGAAACCTACATTGTAAGCATATTTCTTATAGAAATCAAAAACTTCTTTTTGGTCCGTGAACTTCATACCAACCGCAAGCGCTGTCACGCCATCGCTTCCTCTCATTTCATCTTCACATGCATTCATATTGTCTTCGACGTTCTCATTTTTGGGTTTCATCAATAAATCATGTTCCACTCTTGCCATAATTTCTCCTATATCAAAATTAGCGATCACGTTCAAAAAACCATAATCTTTCCATAATTTTACGACAATACATATAAATCATAGCAACATTTTAGGTTGGGATTGGATCGGAGGACCCAACATTCGTTTTCACATACATCAATATGAACTTCTCATCAAATTTATCTAGTATACATTTAGTGAACTTCATATATGCCAAAAACCAATTATTCAATATTCCAACATTATTTCCAGATTTCGAAAGAAAATAATTATGAAATTTTGCAAAAACGATTCACACCTTTTACTGTAGCTATAGCCGTCAGGGAAGAGGTCGACGGTGCGAGTTCATACACAGCAGCGATGGCTTTCCCAAACTTTGCAAAATTTCTGGGTTGACAAATCAGTTCTTCGATAAAATGACTCATTGGAGCTCGACCCAACTTGCACAAGTTGTAAAATGTTATCGCATCTACTATTCACAAACGGAAATCAAGTCGGGAGAATGTGTCTGTGATGATTTGGGTTTTGAATGGGATGACATATTTGGGGTGCTCTCGTGGAATTTGCGGGAAATCGGGTATTGACCAATGTTATTTGTTTGGTTTGGCTCCCATTTTACTATTCCCAATGGCCATATTTCTTTTTCCTTCTTTTCGTGTTTTTTTTTTCCAATAATGCGACGTCAGGTTGTAATGCAAAATTGTCAAAGGACATTGTACGTATAGCATTATTAAATTTAAAATAAGGGGACATATGTCATTTTTTCACTGGACAGTTAGAAAAAAGCAGCTAGACAAGTGTCGGCACCTGTCACCAAACCTTTTTCCCCCTGTTTGAGTAGCTTTATTAGTTCTTGTCACAATCCCAATTTAGTCATTTAACTCTATGTATAAAGATTTAAAAATTTTGTGCACTTCGTGAAGAGAAAAAACTTTTGACAATTTGTAGAGTATGAGGTAGGCAAGCATCAATAAATATAAGATAATTGAAAATTTTCTTATATACTTGGTTACATTGCAAAAAGTATATTAGATACTAGTAGATATACAAAAGTTGCATTACAAAAGTTTCACTACACAAAAGTTGCATTATGCAAAAGTCGCACTGCCACCATCTTGCTACCATAACCAATCAATTTCGACTAATATTTATACTACATGTCAAAGACTACCAGAACATATTTATTCTCCGAGAAAATCATTTGAAAATAAGTACATCAAAGTGGTGGCCTAGGAGTTGTCTATATAATAATGGGATCCCACAAAGTGATGAAAACCCGAAAATTCTGGATACATCATCCATGTATAGACTTCTTTAACATACATGCAATACTGGCCATCCTCAGAAATCATCCATTCACCCGAGGTAAAATCAATATATTCAATAGGGATCATCTACAAGAAAATAAATAAAATAATGTGAATATATTTATTCGGTGAATAATCTATACCATAATCTTCATTTTATTTGAATAAATAAGGAAAATAATGTGCCACAATTATAGATGTTCAATTCTATCCATGCGCGCAATATGAAAATAACAATATATGAGCTCATTAGTCAATTACACCAATTTGGTGTAAAATCAATAATATCAATCATTATCCAATGTAATGTCAATATTCAATGCAATGCAATGTCAATATCAATGGGTAGAATCTTGGATCTATAATTGATTTGAAAAACAAGAAGTAATCCAATAAACATAATTGCAATAAATATGTTTGAAATAAAAGTAGGTATAGACTACCCACCTTCAAGTTGCAA